CTGAGGGGGCCAGGGATTCGCCCCCTATAGACAGTGATGGAACCAACTGACTATGCCGGGGCGCCGGCAGCCACAGCCACTCGGTCTTGGAAGGGTTGAGTCTGAGTCTGTTCCTTCCCATCCAGACCCGTACGGCCTCCAGGCAACGAGCCATCACGTCAAGGGCATCGTTGGGGTGACCCGGGGTGGAGATGTACAGTTTCAGAGATTAATGGGCCCATATCCAATTCACTATTTCAGAAAATACAATATGTAACTCTTTTCTTTAGGAACAACACATTGATTTATTGGCTAAGCACATTCTTCTTTTACAGCTCTAAAACATTGAGCTGAGATGCTTCAGCTCCCATTACAATTCCTAATAAGGTGTAAAATTGCATTTTAATTTCTTGATAAAAGAGATGCCAAAATGGGATGAGAAAAGCAGTGTGATGTTTCCAGTCATTGTTAAAAGTCTCCTAGGACTAAATGTCTTGAAGAGATAATACAGGAATTGAGATATTTCTAGATTAGCTGAGTATAAAAATTGGGGGGGAGAGAAAAATACAGAGGGAAAGAAGTAAATAGGTGGCCCAAAAGCTAAAGTTCTCCCTAGCTAAAGTTAACATATAGAATATCTATGGGAAGGCACCACAGACTGTTCATTCAAGCATCTTCATAATATTTCTTACCAAATACATACGTAATTTCAAGTGTAAATTTCAAGCAAAGAATGATTCCTGATAAAGAAAAGAATCTCTGATCAAATATTAAATTAAATGTTTGTATAATTTAACTTTTAAGTTCATTAGAAATCATAATCTGCATTTTGCAATGACTTTTTCCTACTAACACACTAAACCTTGAGATGGTGCTTCTGTTCATATAACCAGTATCTTTCAAAATGATATATATATATATATATAAAAACTTTAATAGCATGCAAAACCAACCTGGCTTGAAATGTGGTAGCGCATGAACTCCAGGCCATGACTCTTCATTTGGAGTTCCTAGAACCTGAAAGAAGACAAAGAAAAATATATTCATTTTTAATATAGATGATCACTTATTATGAAGCATTTTAAACTTGGATTAATAAGAGTTAAACTTATATACAATTTATATAATTTATAAATATCAATCAGTCAAACTTTATGATTACTTTTGTCACAAATTATTTATACATAGAAAAAGTTATTATCCTTAATTATTATTACCTAATTAAAAGGAGAGTGATGCTACTAATTCAAAAATGAAGGGTATACATATAAAATGTAAGTGTATTAAATAACATGATGAATTACTTAATTCATTTAAACTGAATACTCTACTCTGTGCACAGAGACAGATTGCCTTAGAGCCTTTAAATCTATTATGCAATATTTAGTATGCCCAGCAGATGGAAGCAGACAATTTAATTTACAAAGTCCTTTACTCTTATAGCAACTTACTACTGTATTTTTTCAAAACATTAGATTTTTCCCTAAATAATTTGTTCTCTAAAATGAGAGGATAATCTTAGATTTGTTGGAAATACAATATTATGAGACAGAAAAGTTTCCACTGGCAATTTGCGCACGCAGGTGCATTAAATTCACCTTCCTTAGAAGACAATATGGTTTTAGTAAATTAATATCAAGAAATCTAACTTCTTGATGAAAAACCTGGTCCTATATAATACTGAGTTGCAAGATTTCATATACCATAACTTGTGACTCATCAGTCACAAAAAATACAAAATGTAAACTAATTACTGGAAACTAAGTTTACATTTTGAAATTATTTTTTAATCTTAATCTTTTAATCTAATTTTCCAGGAAAAGTAATTTACAATTAAAAGAACCTATATTTAACATGGACAATATATATCTAAATATATATGCATCTACATGTGAGATGAATTGACTACAGCTTACCAATGTGAAATCAACAAAGATTACACCGATTTTGCTAAGTATAATCAATTCAAATCTACAACAATTTTGTTAGATTTTGTATATTATCTGACACTAGTTCAATTCCCACATTTTTTGAAGGAACCAATATTGTTCTCAGTTTTTAAAAATATTTTACACAGGTACAAATCTAATTACAAAATAGTAACACTTTCAGAGTGAACCGAGAGGGTTTGGACTCCGACTGGGTGGCCCCGGGGGAGGTGACAGGAGCAGGTCTTGAGACCGTTATTTGGGAGGAGTTTGACTCTGTGACTCCCGATGACGTGGACAGCGTCCTGGGGAGACTGAGTGCAGCCACATGTTTGCTGGATCCGTGCCCCTCCTGGCTGGTGCTGGCGGCCCGGGAGGGTACACGAGC